ATACCAGTTCGGCGGTACAACTACTAAAATAGGAAGGATACAGAGAAGATTAGCATGGCCCCTGTGATACCAGTTCGGCGGTACAACTACTACAATAGAAAGGACACAGAGAAGATTAGCATGGCCCCTGTGATACCAGTTCGGCGGTACATATATCAAAATTGGAACGATACAGAGAAGATTAGCATGGCCCCTGTGATACCAGTTCGGCGGTACAACTACTACAATAGGAAGGATACAGAGAAGATTAGCATGGTCCCTGTGATACCAGTTCGGCGGTACAACTACTACAATAGAAAGGATACAGAGAAGATTAGCATGGCCCCTGTGATACCAGTTCGGCGGTGCATATATCAAAATTGGAACGACACAGAGAAGATTAGCATGGCCCCTGTGATACCAGTTCGGCGGTACAACTACTACAATAGGAAGGATACAGAGAAGATTAGCATGGCCCCTGTGATACCAGTTCGGCGGTACAACTACTACAATAGAAAGGATACAGAGAAGATTAGCATGGCCCCTATGAAACCAGTTCGGCGGTACATATATCAAAATTGGAACGATACAGAGAAGATTAGCATGGCCCCTGTGATACCAGTTCGGCGGTACAACTACTACTATAGAAAGGATACAGAGAAGATTAGCATGGCCCCTGTGATACCAGTTCGGCGGTACATATATCAAAATTGGAACGACACAGAGAAGATTAGCATGGCCCCTGTGATACCAGTTCGGCGGTACATATATCAAAATTGGAACGATACAGAGAAGATTAGCATGGCCCCTGTGATACCAGTTCGGCGGTACAACTACTACTATAGGAAGGATACAGAGAAGATTAGCATGGTCCCTGTGATACCAGTTCGGCGGTACAACTACTACAATAGGAAGGATACAAAGAAGATTAGCATGGCCCCTGCGCAAGGATGACACGCAAAATCGTGAAGCGTTCCATACAAGTTCGAGAAAGCTTGAAAATTAAAAAAGTTGCACAAGAAAATATTAGCCCTGAAGCATTGTTTATTATTTTATTACATAATCAGACGCGTTATCTGTTTTATACGCGCAATAACAACAAATAATTTATTCATATAAAATATTTGCATATATTCATATTGCAGCACATTATTTATTATTTTTTTATAAAAAACTTATTGATTTTTATGAAATAATAAACAAAACAGCTTACAAGGAGAAGTATCTTGTTGTATCAAGCTATCGGGTATTTCAAACCCTTTTCTACGTGTTTTTATTTATGTGAGGTACAGAATTTAAACCCCTTGAAAAGTTATTATAAACAATCTGTGGACATTATATTTGGCCACAACATAAATACATATACGAAACCTTTTTAGACGATTCTTTTTAAAATAAAACAATTTATACTGTCCTTACTGCAATGGAAAAATTAATGGTAGGGCCTGGCTCATCAGTGGTGAACCCTCCCAGCGGTTTCGCCAGTTTAATCTACCATACCGCTGTTATATTGCATTTTTGGAACTTCCTTTTATAGTGATACCGATACTAGACTCTTGGAATGGGTATTTTTAGATGAACTATGTACATAAGCTTTGAGGACAGCAGAATTACATATAATTATAAATATATAATTTCGTATTTTGATAACAGATGGCGATTATGAAAATAGAGCAATCCATAAATAAATCTTTAATTAAAAAGGCATATTAAAATTTTACACAAATAAATTTACTGGCAATGCGTTTCTTTTAAATATCATCAAAATTATCTCTACAGACCTTACTGGACCTTACTAGAGATAATTTTGATGATATTTAAAAGAAACGCATTGCCAGTAAATTTATTTGTGTAAAATTTTAACGATAGATGGCAATAAAATTTAATTTACTAATATATATTGGTTATGAAAACATATTTTGCGGAAGAGCTTTGCTCGATGCAATACCTTGAAATTATATGTATGTACCTCTACAGACCTATAAGCTTATGTCCATAGTTCACTAAACACCCCTAAGCTGCCTTCCATAGAAAATGCAGGGTATATAACAAAACCAGTCCAATACAATAGTAGAGCGGTCTAGAGATTAATTTGGCGAAACCGCTGAGAGGGTTCACTACTGATGAGCCAAGCCCTCTCATTCAATAACTCATATCATTGCAGTAAGGTCTGTAGAGATAATTTTGATGATATTTAAAAGAAACGCATTGCCAGTAAATTTATTTGTGTAAAATTTTAACGATAGATGGCAATAAAATTTAATTTACTAAAAAGGCATATATTGGATCAAAATATCATTTATTTTACCAATATTTCAGTTGGCTGAATGCCAACCTTTATCAAGGTGTTATAACATATTTATATATTTGTACATATTTGTTGTATTTCTAATTATAGTCAAGATGTTTCATTTGTGTAAAAAAAGTCCATACATTATTATAATGATTAAAAAAACAGAGTAGAAACAATAAAGCGTCCAAAGAAATTTCTCCTGAACTAAAATATCATCTGTTGTAATATATTTGTGAAAGAATGTAAAAAAAAAAATGGAACTCTAGCGGAATTTTTTTCCAAATTTCCATCTCAATGTCTTTCATTTTAATGGGCTCCTTGTCATACGACTGAAGAATAAATGTCAAACCCAACCGTATCTCCTTTTTTATTCACAACCACTTCTCTTAAAGCTTTTTTAAAAATAAAAAATGACATTTTCATCTCATATATATCTTTTCTTCTAACCAACTTATTCTAAATTTTGATGGTTTTTGTCTCTATAGTAAACAATGGAAAATTTTCAGATCTCTCATTGTCCTGAAGATAAAGGCTGCTTGACCGGCATTCATATTTCTATGAAAAATAGACACTTCGGCCAGTTAGAGTTTTTTTTTTTTTCTCAACGTTTCGACAAAAATCTTATGTCTTCGTCAGGAGAAATAAATAAAATAAAGCATTTGGCAAGGCGTTTAAAATTGTTCTAGTTTTTAACGCCTTGCCAAATGCTTTATTTACTTCTCCTGAGATGAAGACAAAATATTTTTGTCGAAACGTTGAGAAAAATAAAAAACTATAACTAGCCGAAGTGTCTATTTTTCATAGAAATCTCTAATTGTATTTCAACTTTTAAAGATATATAAATGTCACGAGTAAAATTTGAACGCAAAATATTTCTTTAATTTTAAAATCGTTTCACAATATTGAAGGGAGGGGGATTTACTCTTTCTTCTCAAACCCTTAATCTTTACCTTGAGAGACTACCCAGTGTTCAGTCCAGCCACTTTACCAGCTCCGCAACTCCAAGGAAAAAGCTCTAAGGACGACTATCAACCATCCAAAACTTATCCAATAGATATGTATATTAAAATTTTACACAAATAAATTTACTGGCAATGCGTTTCTTTTAAATCTCTACAGACCTTACTGCAATGATATGATTTATTGAATGAGAGGGCTTGGCTCATCAGTAGTGAACCCTCTCAGCGGTTTCGCCAAATTAATCTCTAGACCGCTCTACTATTGTATTGGACTGGTTTTGTTATATACCCTGCATTTTCTATGGAAGGCAGCTTAGGGGTGTTTAGTGAACTATGGACATAAGCTTATAGGTCTGTAGAGGTACATACATATAATTTCAAGGTATTGCATCGAGCAAAGCTCCTCCGCAAAATATGTTTTCATAACCATTATATATTAGTAAATTAAATTTTATTGCCATCTATCGTTAAAATTTTACACAAATAAATTTACTGGCAATGTTTATTAGAAACGCATTGCCAGTAAATTTATTTGTGTAAAATTTTAACGATAGATGGCAATAAAATTTAATTTACTAAGATATGTATATAAAGTATGAAATTAAAGGTCACCGTTCTTATCTAAAATAAACGCTAAAATTAAGTGCCATCTATTGACCGTCTCTACAAACTAGCATCCTCAGTATCGTCGGTCGTCTGTATTTTTGAAAGAGACAGATGCAAATTTTGTTCACACTTGGTTATCTCGTGTGTCTTTAATAAAGATCACTGTAATAGCTTTCAGAGTTATTGTCTGAATCCTGATATATATGCAGATAGGTAAAAAAAGAAGAATGAATCTCACGAAAAGTCCCAGAAAAATAAAGAAATTTAAGCCATGGATCGATTGTTGGAACGATGTAGGGAGCTGGCGTGTGAAGACGAGGAAGTTGGAACACCGGACATGGAGCACAGGGATACGACGACCATAGACCATAGGAGAATGACTTAGAGCAGATGACAGGAGACCTGACAGACAAGAATGGATCAAGGCCAGGGGACCATCTTATCGAGGAACCACCAACCATAGAAAGACTGCTGGAGAGTTGCAGGACATCAGGGGACCATATCTACGAGGGCCACAGCACTGACCAGGAGTTAAGATTACAATTATAAATATCTTTGTTTACTTTTACTGTTGTTATTTATTGAAGTTGTAAATAAAAATATGTAAATAGACTGACCATTCGCTACACTTTTTAGAGAAAAACGTGTAACCTCTTTGAGAAAAATAAAATAATTATTATTAATTATTGACAGATTGGAATTTTAGCTAATGTTTTTATTATCCTGTCGAAGTTTAAAAACATTTCGTTCTTTTATTAAGTGATGTTTGTCTTTTTTTGTCGGTTTAAATGGCGTCATTGCATTTTTACTTCCTATCTTCTAAACAACAATTTTCCCAAAATGTTTAATCATTCCAGAGTCAGCGATTAGCTGATATTTATTCCGATAGATGGCGTAAGCCATCAGTAACTTTAAGTTGCACAATCAGGAGATCCCTTTTTTCTTAATTTATCTACCTGGTATCAATACAATTTCAATTTTGTACTTTTTTTTCATAAATTTATTAATAGTATAATTATATAAATTACAGCAATATTTATTACTTTATATTTTTTTATTAAAATATACAGTTATCAGTGTCATAATCAATTCTTTCCTAATCAATTCTGTCACCGTTTGCTTTGTGAATGGAATAAATACCCAAATATGGCCATTTCTCATAACCATCGGTGGTTCAGTGGTAGAATGCTCGCCTGCCACGCGATTCGATGCCGGGTTCGATTCCCGGCCGATGCATTTTTTTTTTTTTTAGAATTTTTAAAACTCATTTATATATTATACAAGAATGACATCCACGGCGCCAATTTATAATTGTAACGAATAGTATTTGAATAAAAGCATTTAATCGGGTAAAACCCGGGCGTTGCCCGGGTCATTCGGCTAGTTTCTATACATATAACAAGACAAAGGAGTATAGTATTCAATTAAAAAAAAAAGATATAAGTAATAAAAGTTATGATGTACTAGAGCGCCATCTGTTATCAAATTATAAAACTATTTTAGAGGCGTATTATTCTTTTTAAAATAAAACAATTTCTACTGTCCTTACTGCGATGTAAAAATTAAAGGGAGGGCCTGGCTCATCAGTGGTGAACCCTCCCAGCGGTTTCGCCAGTTTAATCTACCATAAAAGTTATATAAAATAATTTGTGAAATTACTCATTTTATTCTTTTTCTTGTGGTTGTTGTTATATTTTATGTTAAAAGAAAGAGATAGAATTATATAAATTATCGTTTGGCATATTTTTTTTATTTTAAAAAATTACAGAAGATTAATATAAAAAAAAAGATCTTTAATTTATTCTCAATTATCTTATTCTAAATAAAAGAACGTAGAAAACATGTCTAAGATGCAATTTAAATGTGTGATATGTAAAATGGGAAGAGACGTTAAAAAAAAAAAGAATTTTAATTAATTTCAAAAGAAAAAAAATATATTTTTGGCGCAAATCAGCCAACAATCGTTTGCAACATTCTTTTATATTTCTTCTTTTGTGTTATTTCTTTCCTTTTTTCTATTTGTATTGAAACTACTTCGTCGATATATTTGGTTAAAATTTAGGCTTAGATATTAAAGATGAATAGTTTTTAAGGAGAATTTATATTTTTCTTCAGCAAATTACAAGTAAAAGTTTTTTTTTTAGAAACACAATATGTAAATATGATGCATTTGCGCGTCATCTGTTATAAAAAAATTGAACTATTTTTAACGCGTATGTTTCTTTTAATCAATTTCGATTCGGTTCCAAAATGACTATATTAGGTACCGCTCAACAAGAGCAACCTAGTTTATGATAATTGGAACAATGAATAATATTGTGTAGCGTTCTCACGCAATTCTGGCCTTAACTACCCATTTCATGATTTTTCAGGATGCCTGAATAACCAGTTTTTTGGTCGTTGAGATACAGCTTGCACCACGCTGATGAGGGCCAACAGCCCGAAACGAATCTGTGGTTAGCTTTTCTTGATTAATCAAGAATGGGTATTTGGTCAATTCTGGAATAATTAAAAATCAACGAAAATAGTTGATATTTATTCCGATAGATGGCGCAATCCATCAGACCTTTCAGTTGCAAGATAAACAGATGCCTTTTTCATAATTTATGCACCTTATCCCAGTACAATATCACATTTGTACTATTTTTTCACAATGAATACTATTTGAAGGTTATTCACATATTAAACAAAATGTTAACGCGGGATTCAATCCCGGTTCATGGCTGTCGGGAATCGAGGGTGTTACCCACTTGTCCACCGACTTCTTTTATTAATCAATATCTGGTTCAAAATCACATTAATAGGTACCGCTCAACAAGAGCAACCTAGTTCATGATAATTGGAACAGTGAATAATATGTGAAGGTTATTCACATATTAAACAAAATGTAATTCGGGATTCAATCCCGGTTCATGACTGTCGGGAATCGAGCGTGTTACCTACTTGTCCACCGACTTTTATAATCAATATCTCGGTTCAAAATCACATTAATAGGTACCGCTCAACAAGAGCAACCTAGTTCATGATAATTGGAACAGTGAATAATATGTGAAGGTTATTCACATATTAAACAAAATGTTAACGCGGGAATCAATCTCGGTTCATGACTGTCGGGAATCGAGGGTGTTACCTACGCGTTCATCGACGGATAATCAATTTCTACTGCACTTACTGCCCCCACACAATGATAAAATATATTTAAACTGTAATTGTATACAAGTAGAGGGTTTTAGTGGTTACCTAAATTACAAATTAATCCTGTCTTACATGGGAGAAAACTTGTAATTAAATTTTAATCAGTGGGTTTTATCGAGATCGTGTTTTAAATCTCATTTTTTTTAAATCTTCCTACATATTGAGAACCTCGAAGTAATTCCAAATGAAACTG